TCTGAGTTCCTTTTTATCTCTCCGCCCCCTTCCTCCATTCTTTTTTCCCCCTTCTCTAGCTCAACTTTTGGTGCTGTGCAATAGCCAGCAAATGGATGACTAAAATTTATGACGTGACTTACTTCTAATATGCTGGTTGTATTGTCCCTCAAGGTGCGTCAAATGCACTCCTCAAGTCCTTCCAGAGTCCAGACATAATTAGATGATTAAAGTAACTGATTTTCAGTCCTAAGAAACATACTGTCAGATTAAATGTACTATTTATATTTTATTGGTGACTGACGACATTTTGACTCAACATATGTAGTTCCTTGAGGTGGTTATTATGATAATTTAAATTCTTTTCATAATATCTTTTTACAGATAGCAAACTACATTCCAACTAATGAAGACTTGGACTACCCGGAAAAGCTGAAGAAATCTGCTGAAAGCACATCTGAGATAAATCCTGTAAAGTGTCTTTCTTTGCAGTTTCTTGTTTTTAGCTTGAATGTAGATAATTCAGCCATCATTACTTCTCACTAATGATGACTATTATATGCTGATTTTCCTACAGTAATGCCCATTAGATTTATTTAGTAATTTGAATTCTGGGTAGTTGTTTACTGCATTAGTCCACGTTGAGTAATGTGAACTTCATCACCACTATGGATTGGTTCTTCTATATTTTTATTATTTCATCTTCCAACCATTACCTTTTCTGAACTGGAAACTGCCATGGATTACTGGATGTGAAATATAATGCCCAGGGAATATTGAAATATTGATGATACCCTCTGTTGATTCAATTATTCTTCCCTGCCCCATCTTGGTTTTGCCTCCAATTTGGCCAAGAGAGCGGATTTGGGAATTTATTTATAAATGTCTCGTGCTTGTTGCACACACACTATCTTTTATGGTAGCATATTTCTTGTTTCTTCATGTTCTGGAGACTGCAACCAGACTTGTATTTGTTTTTGTGGTTGGTTATTGGTGGATGTTTCCCTGTAGTCCCGTTTGACAATTTGCTTTAGGTTAATAGATGTAGATTCTGAATTTCTTTGTTTTCCATAATTTGCAATTTGCTTTAAATTTGCAGGCTGATGACGACCCAGATATATTTAAGACATGGTATCCGCCCTTGGAGAAAACTATATCATGTCTTTCAAAGTTGTATCGTTGTTTAGAATCAGAAGTTTTCACAGGTTTAGCACAGGTATTAGAGGTTTTGATTTACCAACCCCGTATTTTCTTTCTTTGAATATTTATTAACAATGAACTTTTGTTATTTCAATCAGGAAGCAGTGGAAGTTTGCTCAACGTCTATTCAGGTAATGCAAAAAACAGCTATCTGGTCTATCTAGTGTCATGATCGTGGTTATATTAATATAATATAAATATCATGAAGGAGGAAATTTCTTATTATCAGTATTGGGCCATTTTATTTATTTTTTACAACTGTCCTTGATATTTTGATATGATGAGCTTGTTTTATGTTTGCTGATTCCGCTTGTCCGCCACAGAAAGCAAGCAAATTAATTGCAAAGAGATCATCACAAATGGATGGACAGCTCTTTCTTATAAAGCATCTTTTAATTTTAAGGGAGCAGGTAATCCTGTATGTCAGACTTTCTTTTGTAACTATTTAGTAGATTTTATATAATTTGAGTAATCATTTTTTCATCCTCCAGATTGCACCCTTCAATATTGAATTTTCGGTCACTCAAAAGGAACTTGATTTCTCTCATTTGCTGGTTAGTGTTTCTTATCCTAATAATGCTTTATCAGCTGGGTTTGATTCATTGCCATTCTTGTTTCAAAAACTTGTTTTCACTCACTTTCATTATGCTCATGAATTTTCATCAGTTCTTGTCAGTTCACATAATTTGACTTCATTATAATGAAAATAGTATCTGCACTCCTGAGAACATCCCAAATTCTCAATCACTTTTTGCAATTTGGACATAGTTTCACTCCACAACAGAAATATGTGTCAGTATGTCACTCAATAAAATGTCATAATACAAAGAGGTAATTCAGGAAGTAAAATTACCAATGATCTTGTAAACTACAAGAACCAGTTACTTAATTTATTTTATTTCCATATCCTTGGATCTACTATGTTAACATTTTCAATGAGTATGTGGATGCTATGTAAAGAGTTTTCTCATCATGGATTTTATAATATTTGTCATCAAGTCATGACTAGGATTTTATTTTTTATGTTGCTAATTTAGCTTTAATATCACTAATATATTAAGCCTATGTGCCTATGTGAATACTGAATATGGTTCAGGATCATTTACGGAGAATTCTAAGAGGTCAAGCCTCACTTTTTGACTGGTCAAGATCAACTTCACTGGCAAGGACATTGTCTCCAAGAGTTTTGGAAAATCAAATTGACACCAAGAAGGTTTGTGATTTTGTGGAAATAATATGGCTTGGTCAAATGACTTGTACAGCAAGCTTCTTGCTGATGTTTTGGTTGTACTTTCTTATTTTATCATTATCATCCTTATCCAAACTTATTAGAAACGTTAATTAGATGTAACCCTCTCAAAATTGATTAGTTTAAATTATCTTTTTTGGCAAGTGTTTTGGAAGTTCTGAATTCTAAATTTTGATTGTGATGTGGACCAAAATTTCCTTCCAATAGTCACCCTGGCAATGATTGTCTGCTTTCTTCTGTTCTGTTGTTTTTCTTTCCCAGTTTGATAAAAATTTATTTTCACTCCTAAATTTTTCACTAATCTAAGATTTAGTCTTACGTAATCATAAATGGAACCATTTATACTGCTGATAGTCTCTACACAAGCATTAATTGGTTGGAGAATAATTAAGATGGAATTTTCAGTGATGATGAGGAATTAAAGGAAAATATTAACCTCTTAGAAAAATAGACTGCATATTTCCCTCATATTGATCTCTCGTTACTTCTCCATCCCCTTACTATCCATATCTTCATCAACATTTTCTTTTCAGCTATTCCTCTTTGTTCATTTTACTTCACATGCTGCATAATAATCAAACTTAGACCATTATCTAGTGCCTTTTGACTTCTATTTTCTTTCAGGAGCTGGAAAAGAGCCTTAAAGCCACTTGTGAGGAGTTCATTATGTCAGTTACTAAGCTTGTTGTGGATCCTTTGCTTTCATTTGTTACAAAGGTTAGTGTGTCTGTAACTTATTTGTTGTTCGCCAGCTGTAGAAACAGATCCATTTCTTCAAAGCAAAGTCAAGTGTAAATGCATTACTGGTTCTTTATTACAAACCTTTGTTATGTGCATACCACAATCATGTCATAACCACACATTTGAAGTATTTCATTTCTCAATTACAGTGAATATGTTGTTGTAACTTCTAATGCTATTTTGGTAATAAAACTGCTTCTAGATGACAGTGACTATGAATATTTAAATTTTTTCCATTATTTTTAAGAGAGAAATATTTTTACCAAAATTTTCATTGTTTTTGTAGGTTACAGCAGTCAAAGTAGCATTATCTTCAGGTGGTCAGAATCAAAAGCTAGAGTCAGTCATGGCCAAACCGCTGAAGGATCAGGCTTTTGCTACTCCAGATAAGGTGGCTGAACTTGTTCAGAAGGTTGGTCATTATTCATTGAAATACAGAACATTCTACTCCGAAAGTTTCATCTATTATGTGGATTTCTTACTCTTGGTTAATAATAAAAAAAATGAATGCCTCCAATCTTATGTTTAAAATAATAGCATGGTAACTTTTGCTAAAGCAGAAGTGCTGAAGGTCTGTTCTTCACTAGCCAACCATTTGGTCCTTTTCCTAGAACTTATGGTCTTGCAGAAATCTTATTGGTGTCATATTTAAATGAAAACACCTGAAGATTTTCCTCACATTATCTTGATTGGTGGATTCTCTTATGAAGTTTCTGATATTAGGTTTATGAGTTCTGCTCTATTATTGAGCTAAATTGATGTTCTGTGGGCTAATAGGTCAGGAGTGCTATTCAGGAGCAACTACCGGAGGTGATAGCAAAGATGAAGCTTTATTTGCAGAATTCATCAACAAGAACAATACTTTTCAAACCAATAAAGTAAGCTTTTGTGTAATTTCTAGAATTACAGTTTAAACATTTTTCTATATACCTGTGCTATGACAAGTGCATCTTGATTATCATTTCCTATTGTTTGATGTCAAAAGAATTTATGTCTTCCATTGGATAAATTTCTAAAATCTAAACTTGGTGGTATTTCAACATAGAGATATTTTATCGCTATAAATGCCTGTTAATTAGATGACGATATGCTGTGCATTGATGCTGTTTAATTTAACGTTGGTTGTTATGATATCTGGGTTCATGCAGGACAAATATTGTTGAAGCCCACATCCAAGTTCAATCCCTACTTCAATCAGAATACACAAGTGAAGAGATCCAGATCATTAATCTGAAATCCGTACAGGATCTACAAATTGAGCTTGATAATTTTCTCTAAATTGTATGTAAAGGCCATTGGATAACTTCCATGTCCCTTTTTTCCCCATCTGGAGGATCTTGAACAGAGACTTGGTTACATCTCTATGTTACAATCTAGATAATTTTGTAGAATTATTAGCAAGAGATGGAAGAGTGGTGGTTTTGCCGCGGATGATCTATAACTTTTCATTTACACTGGTGGATATCTTTATGTTGTACATTTTTTCATTAGTCAGCGGGCAACTCTATATTTACGCAGCTTTCCGCAGGTTTTTTTTTTTTTTACGTTATAATTATATATATATATATATATAATTTTTCTTTTTAATTTTTATATTTTTACTCTTCCATGTAAGTTTTAAATTTTTTAGTATAAAGAATATTGTAGTTCGTTATCACAATAATTTTACATCTAAAGAAATAGTTTATACAAATTTTAAGTTATTTTCATAATTTGGATTGAATTGTGTCTAAACTAAAAAAAATTAATATTTTCCTAAAATATCAAATGTCAAAGTCGAGAATAATTTTTTATGTAAACATCTATTATAAGAAAAGAGTTGTGATTAACACTCTAATCAGTAATTTACATAGAACAAATTTATAAAATCATTACATGATTTGTGTAAGACGGTAAGAAAATAATGTAAATTAGAAAGGAACCCATTCTCAAATATATACTTTTACATGTGCAAAATAATCGTCACAGATTTCTCAGTGCCTAACGTTTTACGCGTGGAAAAGGAAAAGATTTGAACAATGCAATTGCCCTTCAAAGGGTTATGATTTGCAAATCAAAATTTGTAGACGAGATTGGGACTTGGAAATGCAAGAGCTGTAATATATAGAAGTTAACATAGGAGGGGGGTTGTCGCTGTACAGTTAGTTACCCTTGATGGATATGCTCCAGCATAACCTTTCAACAATCTCTGGTAATTGGAGACGCACCTCCAATGTTTTTATAGGGGACACAAATCAGCTGCTGCATATTATCAGATACTACAATGCAGCAGACAAATATTACGGACATAGAGAAAGCGAGAACGGACATGGGATGAGAAGCCCGTGTCAATGGAAGATGGAATCTTAACATTTACAAGATTTAATATTTGATCAGATCAATCAAATGGGTCCCGTCTCATGAATTTTCATCACAAAAATCTGATTGGGAACCACTGGGGTGTAATTCTGGAGGAGACCATTGATCTGGCACCATAAGAAAATACAAACTCATGGCTTTCCTGAACCTTTTCTTGTACTGCTGTGGGGATATAACAGTTGGAGAAGTATTCTTTGGTCCACCAAGGATGCCAGAGGTCTTCACCCAAGTTTCAAGGTGTTTATCCCATGTATATTGCCTCATAAAATCAATGATACCTAAAACCAGTTCATGTTTTTCCTCGTCCACGCCAACCAGTAATGAGTAGTCCATCACATATATTGACTGCAACAATACGTACAATGTTATATATCAAAAAGAAAATATAAATACAGGAAAAACATTAACATCAACCTTTAGGGTTGATTTTAAGCATCTAAGAGAGTTAAGTTTTTATCAGAGAAAAAAAAATTATTGTATATTGGAAATACAAAATTTATAAATGTTTTCTCTTTTAATAAAACCTTATCACTTTTGTATGCTTAAAATCAGTTCTAAGGACTAATGTCATCAAAACCAATAAATATAAAAGGAATCAAATGAAAAATGTGTTTTGATCAGTATCTATGTAACAGACACATGCATTCAGTAGGCATAAAGGACAGCTTTTAAGATATTAGTGAAGAATAATTTAGCAGCAGTTTATGGTTAAATTATTCTGTAGGTCCTCAAAGGTACATCAAATTTTCAAAGAGGTCCTCATAATTTAAAGGTTTTTAATAAGGTCCCTATTGACTGCATCTGTTTAAACTCTGTTAATGGATGTTTATAGTCACATGCGATCTATTAATCCACTAGGGTACTAATATACTGCCACTTATTTTTTAGGAGTTAGCAAGCAACAACTTGGATTTATTAAAATACTCCTGAAGTTATAGATCACTAACACACTCCTAAAAAAAACAAGACTACATTATCTATATATATATATATATATACACACACACATACCACGTTTAACGGTTCCCTTTTTCTCACTTGACAGTCAAAAATGTAAGTATGAGGTATTTAATCACACGTACACGTTCTATCTCCAAACATCACAGTCAAAGCAAAAAATGACAAGGAAATTGAAAAAAGAAAGCTGCAAGAAAACCCATGAAGGTAAACTCTATAATGTAAATAATGAAAATTACAAAGGGCAATCAGACTTACTGCAAGGAATGCAGTATCATTCCACACAGCCCTCTCAAGCAACCGTTTTGCCTTGTTCCCAACAAATATTGGAGAGGTTGGCATAGCTTCAATGAGATTCTGATCCAGCAGAACTTTATTGCTCCCACTTGTATCTGGATTGTACCGTGATCGAGAAGAACCTTTGAGGTCATAGAGCCGTCTAATGTTACGCCTATAAAGAAGATTTTCCATAACCAAAACATCCATTTTTGTTTCCTTCCCTCCTTTGAGGTGCTTTGATGTTACCTTCACAGAAAAGGCACAAAATCGCACCCAATGAGAACACAAAAACATTTCAACAAATTGCACTAGGAAAAACAATGGCTGCTCACAAGAAAGATTCAAGACAAATCTACGATGTGATCACTTATTTGGTTGCATTAGTAGGATTGTTCAATTATACAGGATTGCATATGAATCTGAAAAAGATATATGGAGAATCCAGCGGTCCAAAAAGACAAAAACTGCCATCTAATTATTCCACCATAGACATCTAAATTTAAAATGAAAACACGTTACATGGAATACATTAGGCTTCAGCGTATGCTTATAAATGCATAAAAAGGGGGAAGGTGGGGGGGTGTGGTATGCCAAACCAGCAATTTCAAGTGTGTAAATATAATTTATGCCTAAAATTGTAGCCAAGTTAGCTGCCACTCAACTACTATGAAATATCAACAACACAAATATTAGAAATACTTCATTACAAAAATTCTATATGTTATCAGAACAGAAAGTTAACAAAAGTACCTGATATATGCCCAAGATCTTTGCAAGACAAGTTGGGCTTCCAGTACTGATTGACTCAGATAAATACTTAAAATAAGCTGGTGCAAACTTGATAAATGACTCAAGTTCTGTTTTTGTAACCTGCTTGATAATAAATCTATCATCCAAGGTTTTTGCAAAGAAGACATTGCTCTTTCCTCCCTGAGCCCCCCACTTCTTACAACGACTAAGGGACCGCACAAAATCTAACTCAGAAGGGCAACAAGTTCTTCTTAAAGCCTCAAATCTCTTTGCATAGTAGCAAGTTACAGTATATTTCACTTTTCCAAGGGAGCTATCATCAGTAAAAGAAACCCTTGCATGCAAATCCTTTGTGAATGAGAGTGGATCTCCAGCTGGTAAACTACGAGACCCAGAAGTGGACAACATGTTCTCATCAGAAGATCCAAGACTTCTGAAGGTATTGGTAATTGTCTCATCAAAGGAGTTAAGTGAAAGTAGACTTGTTGAATCAAAGAGTGGCAATGAAATTGAACTGTCTCCACTGTCTTTAAGTCTATCAGATTCCGACATCTGGATATGATATTCCATTGACACAAGAACATATGCTATTACACTGGTGGGTTCATCATCATAGACAGGCACTATGGTATCATTAATACCAGCTGGCAGAAGCAGTCTAGCACCAGTCTGGTGCTCCAACTCTCGAAACGATAAAATGTGGACTGGGTTGTACTCAATAAGCTTCTGTGTATTGAAGGAAGAAGTTTTGTTGAAGGAACCAAAGAAGTTTGCAAAAGGCATTCCTTTCCATTTAGTATCAAGTCCTTTGGAGAACACTTTAGAGTCATTAGTGCATCCTGCCTCCATTCCACCTATATGGACAGTATAATTATCAGAATTTGATTTTGAGGTGACTATATTGGCCACAGGTGAATGAACTGCCACAGCTGATGCATCATGAGGTAGACAACCATTTTCTTTAAGTGATGAATTTATAGGGTGATTTTCACCTGTCCATGCTGCATCAAGGGTATCTGATAAATTAGCCACAACAGGAGATCCCCCCTCTGATAAAGCCCTCCGTACAGTACCTCCAAACTCCAGAGAATCAGATTTATCATTGATATTTGAACCACCAGAGAGGGAGAGATCAACTTTATCATGATTTGTGTCTTTACTCTTGTCCTCACTTTTAATTACTTCACCAGGGAGGTTAGTGTTTTCAAAATTTAGGCTTCCATTGGGTTTTGTTTCCGAAAGAAAGGAATCACAACTGGCATGGCCTTTTGCTGGCCTAGAGGAGACATCTGCCTCAATAACATTTTCCCTAGAACCAAGCAACTTCTCCCTATGATTTAAGTTCTTTGAATTTTCTTGAAGAGTAATTTTACTAAGGTTGGATGCATATGTCAAGCGCTGATCCCAAACATAAGAATAGATAAGGATATTCCGGCGCAACTTATTGAGCTCTAGAATATCAACCACAGGCTGACCAGTTTTGCCCTCTTTATGCAGCAACTTATGTAAGGAGTCCTAAGTAATTCAACATTACAAATAGGAAACAATTACTCAAGAAAGGAAAATCAACAAAATTTAAACGAATTCTATTAATCTATTAATTAATATGGAAAGTAAGTGGAGGGATTTATAAAAGAAAAAAAATTTTCATCCTAATCATTTGGAAACCTTTTTTTTTTTGTGTTGGGGGAGGGGGGGGGGTTTGGGTTTAATTATAGGAGCAATGAATCTCAAAGTCTCAAACCACCTACCTCAAATTCCTCTTTCTCAAACTGCAGAATCCCTTTAAGTTCAGTGACTAAATTCCTAAAATTTGACACCTTATTTCCACCCTCCTGCAACACAAGACCTGAAACCTTCTCTGAAATTTGATGCATAGTGTTGCACACTTCACTAAATAGTACTTTGGCCTTGTTATGCAGCTGGTGGACAAGATCAACAATCTCATAAATACAGAAGCAGTCAGAAGTGTATGCAATATTTTAACAAAAATTAGCTTACCAACCTCATTTGCTTCTTTTTGTAGCCAGTCCTGACTATCATAGTTGAATTCAAGTTTAGGTGGTGGAAGATAAACAGAATGAAGGTCAATTGAAGCATAACGAAAGCAGGCAACCATCTTCCCAAAACTGCACAAAGAAAATGGTTCAAGAAAACAGAAAAGTTGTATACAATGATTCTTTTTTGGTAGTTGTCACATCAATATTTCATGTGCTTCACAACCCTAAGCGATACATTTCACTATCAAGCCTTAATGACACTAGACTTAAAAGAAGGGTGATCCTATATCCAATTTAAATGATGAATGATTCAGCCAGACTGGCTCCAAGCCCGCCCAAAACATAAAAAGCTGATTGAAACCCCCTCAATCCAGTGTTTGCCCACTCCTTCCTGTTTCTTCTTTCTTTATTTTTGCATCCTTTTTTTTATCTTGGTCAAGAGTGTCATGCCACACTCCTCTCTACTCAAACCATGCAAATATGGGTTATATATGTCACTTCTACTTATTTATATAACTGTTGAAGTCTCACATGAACTATAGATATGGATAAATAATAACTTCTAAAGACTAAAACAATCTTCACCTTACAAGCAAGCTTGAGGTTGAATTAGGCTTAAAGCCCAAATTCAACAATAACATCCTAACTAATCCCCTTTAACTAACTGCTCTAACTGTTCCTAATTAATTTGACTCCCCTGGCCCTTCCAAGCAAGTCATTTACCCTTCTGTCCTCACACAAGCACCAAGATTGTATGCATTTCACGTTTAATACAGTTTTTCCCCATTTGAATACCCTGCCACACCCCATTTATCATAATTCAATTTAGGAGGAGAAAAGTATACCCATAGAATCTTAAACAATCTCTGTGGAGAGAATGACCACAACTTGCAACCCTGCTTGCTGCCGCATGATTTGAAAAACTGAGCTCCAAAAATTTCCCAAAGGATAAGCCCCAAGCAGCATCAGACATAACTACTCTCCGTGTAGCAGGAGGAAAACCATTTACACGGGGACATTTCAGGCATCTGTGCCACATCCATATTTTACCTTCCCGTTCCCCTGGTAAAGGAAACTCTGATAGTTTCTTGACAGAAATTGTCAAGCTCCCTTGCCGGTGAGTATAACAATGAACATGAGCTTCTGATGGCATTTCACATGAGCAGCAAGTGTAACTCTAAAAAATAAATTTTACAACATAAGTTTTGAGCTCATAAGGTAGCCATTGGTGGTAAAATTTATTTAATAAAAAAGATAATTTGAAGAACAAATACCTGATCAAGTAGTTGATCTCTCAAAAACCGTCCCAAAGGCTTATCAGAACTTCCATAGTATTTAATTCTCACAAGGTGAGACCTTTCACAAACAGTTCCTTTCCACACACATCGTGTTGATAAAAAGACCAAAATACTCTGATGGTCAGAAGTTGAGGGAAGAAAATCTTCTTTTGAATGTATAATGTCATCATGATCATTATTATAATTATTATCGTGTTTTAAATAAAGTATCTCAGGATTAGCTCCTTGGTTAGCAGACAATGCTGCAGCTCTGATGTGGTTATCATCATCTTGCCGTGAAGGCTCGAAGGCACCAAAAGAATTTGAAAGAAGATCATCATGCAGCATAGTTTCCCTTCTCTCATCTAGTCTGTATTGAAAAAGTTCCCTAGGACATTTCTTACCATCCTCTTTAGAAACAGTACTTGAGAGGAAACTATTGCAGTGGGAAGATGGCATATCCCGAGCTGATTGGGTGACATTTCCAGACAATTCAAGCATATGGATTGAGTTACCCCCCAGTGATCTTTCAGTGGACACACTGCAGCTAGATGGGGTTCTTTCTACCTTGTGGGAATCATTAGATTTTGGTACTTCTTTAAAAGGTTTAGCTCCTTGATGCTCTCTAGCAGAGAGAACAGAAAATCCAGGTATAGTGGAAATGGATCTCACAATACTAGATGGTTTATCAGGTAATGCAACGGTTATGGGAGATGTCAAGGGAAACTCTAGCGGTGAAGCACCTTCATCAGCCAGGAAAGATGTCTCCAGTGCCAAATGATAGGCTGCAAAAACCCCATATTGAACCACATGTTTCAACTTCTTCAACTCATCCCCGTTGGCACCTTTCAGCAAGATCTTCAAAGTAAAGCAAAATAATACACATAATATGTTCAACTCATTGTCGGTAAATCAAGAATATAAGATAAAGATTACAGCACACATGTTAAATTTCAACCAGTAGTGAAAAAAACAGACAATTGGCTAGGAAAAGCTGTTTGGACAGAATAATATTCACAGCAGAGGAGAAAAGAATCAATTCCCAAGGTAGCAAAAATTGTTTGGCAAAATTTTACCTTTATCAAAATCAATTTGCAGTGAGTAGAATTGATAGACAGTTGAAAAATTTTAGCTTTTCTGTTAAAATTGATTTTGCGTGGGATTTGGCACCTCTAAAGTGAAGGGTGCACTTTACAGGGTAAAGTACAATTATAACTGTTCATTAAAAAATAAACTAATGAAATTGTAATCAAATGAATGTACATTTATAACAAACTACAAAGTAGTTTAGATTTTAGACATTAAATTTGAACCAAGTTTTCATTGACATCATTTAATTCACTGGGGTATCCTCAACTACATTATGTTAAGCAATGAATTTCAACAGTTGAAATTGTGAATATTTGTGCTAACTGCATTTGTACCTTTAACCATCATCATGTTTAATAGTAGTTTGAAAGAGCATGACCTAAAATAGCTAAATAAATTATACAAAATTTTTCTTCTAGTAGTTGTCACCTATGTTTTATTTAGAATAAAAGATCATGCAAACATATTGGTAAGTGCTCTATCAAAAATTTGGGATAACAAATAAGCCATCAAGATAACAAAAGACATAGGACTGATAGAGTAATCCAAAGACTGTAATATGTGTATGCACTGACACTGGATTTAATGTCCCAAAACATGTCAGGTTTGTAGAACTTACAGTGCAACCCAAAGGTTTTGGACAACCCTCAAAGAACATCAAAGTCTTTGTTGATTTTTTCCCACCTTGCCCAGCACTACCATGCTCCTCAAAAAATTTGTCCACGTGGAATGTTTCACAGTACCCCAGCTTCTGAGAGGTCAGATGATCAATTGAGGGGACAATCTGTGCCCCAGTACAACGGGCAATGCGCTCTAAAAGTGGCTTTTTAATATTCAGAACAAGTGATATGTCTTTAGCAAGAAGGTATTCTTGAGCATAACGAGATACTGACTTCTCTACCAAAAGAACATTGGGATGATGAGCATCAATCCTTGCAACTGCCATCTTCAAATGGTCCATCTCCTGGGAAACAGCAAAAAGATCATGAAATTCAGCAATATTATTATTGAAAATAAGACTATGACAACCAAGTCTTATTCTATTTGGTCGGGATAAAGTAATAGAAATCAGATCCAAGGGAGGATTATTCAGGTGTAACGCGAGTAACAGGCTAATAATTATCAAGTTTTAAGAGTTGGGTTGGGTGGAGAGAACCTGCTGTAATAAAGTATCAACGCTTGATAACTGGTTAGAAACACGCTGATACTCCAAAGCACCTCCGAGTATTAGAAAACGTGGTTTATCAATTTTTGATGTCATTCGCCGATGAGCCACATTCTTTTTACACACAACTCCTTTAATCACCATGCTGGAAATAGAAAACTACAACATCAAGAGTATACAGAGACAGATAGAAGATTTAATGAACAAACTTAGATTTAATGAACAAACTTATGCAGCCTTTTCCCAAAATGAGAATAATCATATGGAGTAGATATCACTTTTCCATTCACCAGCCTGCTCACACATGTATCTGTTATTATTAAGAAAACAGGTCCACACCTGTATACTCTGACTCGACAGAATAAATTTTTAATGTTCTTATTGATAATTATACAATACAAAGGTATGACACTATATATAGAGTTAGGCTTCAAACTACTTGCCCAGAATAAGGCCCTATTACAGACAAAAAAAAAATTGTCCTACTAAAAAGGGAAATAAGGCAAGAAATCTGTACAGAGAAATAAATGGAAATCACAATAAAATACAGAAATATAATAACTCTCAACACTCTACCATTCTTAGATTTTTTTTCAGCTCTAGTAGCTCATCTCCCAAACAAGCACAAAGAATTTACAGACTAACAGATTTCAGCAGCATAAAGCTTCGTGACAGATATGAATTATCCATATAGAATAGGAAAAGGGAGGGGAGTAAGCAACACATTTTATTTTCTTTGTCTCAAAGGGGCCATGTACTATTATTAGAATTTTTTCTCTATTTTTTTTTTTTTTCCTGATACAGGGAAAATCCTGAAATAAATTAGAAGCAAGTCTCAGCAGCACAAAACTAAAAAACAGACAAAAATCTACCAAAAGACTGAAACAAAAGAACAAAATATAAGATCCAGCAGCAAACAGGTCAATACATTAATGCATAATATTTTTCTTTCCTCCACTATCATTACTTTAGAAATATAATATATAAAAAAAATCATTTATGCATCTTCATCAAAGTGTTAAACCATTGGGATTGTTGGTTCATGACAATTACCTTTCACTTCGATGCCCACAAGCTATGCATTTAACCTTTACATATCCACCAGGATCCATACCTCCACCTCTGCTCATATCAGGCTTCAGAAGTGTAGCAGCTTCCCAAGACAAAGCAGTAATTATATCCAACCAACTCTCTTTTCCATTTTCATCACAAATAGTTAGGTTTTCCACCTGTAAAAGCTGAGCTACCAGAGCTCTAAAATGCCCTTCCACAACATTCTTCATGGCCTTCCTGTGATCCTCACTTGATTTATCTCTGCTACGACATTCTCCAGAGCCAAAACTATTGGAGGATCGTAAATATCCCCATTCTCCAGTAGTACCCTCATCTTCATCATCCTCAAAAAGAACAGCTTCTCTATCATCCTCTTCATCTTCTGGCTCAGGAGGTAGCCACAGTAGCCCATTATTCTCAAAATCCACAGGCTCTGCATTATTACTCTCCTCATGATAAGGACAAGTTTCACATTCATCAGTGTGATCATGCCCATCTGCTTCTTTTCCAGGTGTTTGAATTCCACCTACCCCTACCCCTTCTAGATCAAGATCATGTGGAGCCGTTAGGGAACTCAAGCCTTTTTCCTGAATGTTATCTCCATCAGGATGAATTTGATGTGGTCCGTAGACATGATCAACCCCATGAACGTTAACTGTATCATCATAGTCATGGGCATGAGAGTAATGCCTTGATTCTGTATCAGAATGATAAACACCATAATCATCATCCTCATCATCACTCCTGGTTCAAAAGAATAAACATAAAATAACAGTAAGAAAAGAAAAACAAAATAATCTGACAATGTGCTAATCAAATATATATCTCTAAAATCAACGAATCAGGGTCAACAAATGTTATTCAGAAGAATCAGAACTAATGTGGAAAAAGGATCCTACCAAAGACACCCTATTTTTCTGTAATAAAAATTCACAATCTATTTCAGCGCCATTAGGTTCATCTCTGGATCAGCAATAAGCAAAGGATCACATCAAAACTTTTCCGCACAGCCACATAAAATCCACAGATCAGCACACATACAAAAACACATCTTTACAAGACTAGCATTCATCAAAACCAGATTCTCCATACGCAAGAATTCTATCTCATTTTCAGCCTTGATTTTCTCTTTACTTGATTTACATCAGCATCAGAAATGTAAGGACATAAAGGACTCCAAATATTTAGGGGAACAGACAGACTACCACATTCCTAAAAAATGAACCATAAAAGAAAGAGGCACCTGTTGAAGCAATAGCCAAATTGGTTAGAAGCCAAGTTCCCTACAGCAGCAGACGGATTTGTGCTCCCTGTAGAATTTAAATTTTCTTGCTCATCTGTTATTTGATTCATTTGGGAAGATTGACGTGGACTATAAGGCACACGCTGGTAAGACCCAGTTGAGTACGGAACTGAACCAGCAGTGCTGCCACTACTATTACAAGTGCAACTGGACTTAGTGCTGACCAAGCTTGTAGTAGATGGTGAAGGGCTGAGACAAGGGGTGGCTGAAAGAGTGCCATTGTCAACCGTTGCTAAACCTTGTTCCCATGTTTTAAAGCAGTAATTACAGACCCTAATCCTCTCCCAGTCTTCACGACCAGCATTTGGCTCATCTGATGGCGCAGGAACAGAATTGGCAGTGCATTTTGCACAGAAAACTCGACCACAGATTCGACAGTGATGCCTGCGGTTGAATATTGTGAACTGTGAATCACACTCATAGCATACCCTACAACTGTGATCGGGCATCCAGAAGTCCCTCGACACATTTGGTGGCTCAGCCCTTCGAGGGATCCAAGACCTAACTACATCAACAAGGTCAGATATTTTCTTGTCAGGGGTGCCCATGGACTGTGATTCCACACAAGCCCTCTCATTTTGAGTCCCTCATTGACCAGCCTCGTTAACATTCCATGTGATCTATGATGCTGATGAGAAGCATATCCAGGTAAACAAATAAATATTCCTCAAAAATCATATAGAGGAAAGTGGTAAACCAACACATCCTTCCATTAGTATATCCACCAATCACGATTTTTTTTAAAATAACCATTTGATAGACAACAATATTTATTATATACTACTAAAGGGATAGAGAGGAATTCAATTTATTCTGAGTTTTACGAACTGGACAGTCAAGTCAAAAGTCAAACCTAAATCAGTAAGGTACATGAACCACAAGTAATAAATACGCATGTAAGTGCAAAAACTTAACGCTGCTCAAATAACAACGGAAAATGAATTAGCATAAGAAGGTTTCTAATTAATTAATAATTAATATCAATATAGCAATATTGTTCACAAACATCCAAAACCGAAAACAAAATTTGGAAGCAAATAACTGTTAGAAATAAAACAAACAGTACATACATAGTTACCAAATGGAATTGTTCAGATTAAGTTCCGGACCAAAGGGCAGAGGCCAATGGCCACCGCCATGGAAATCAAAACCCCATCATATCAGTTCAGATGATCTCACTCAACTCAATGTCTCAGTTCCAGCATGACCAGAAAGCAAATTCAATCCAATACAATGACCCAGATGCAAAAACACCAACCAATCAAGCAAATAAGCACATAATCACCATCATCCGAAGCTAGTTCTCAAAGTTTCTCACTTCTGCCACCGACCCACGAAGCAATCAACCGTTAACTTCTGAACTTGCATGTAAAGACAGTAACTTTTTAGGAAGTGAAACCTCAAAAACCCGAAATCAGATCTCACAGCTTCTCCAGAAAACCCCCGAGTAATAATTACAAACAGGGATCAAATAATTTATTAAAATAAAATAAAATAATAGATTTTGAATGATGGGAAGTGAGAGAGAGAGAGAGAGAGTCACACAAAAAACAAATGGAAAAATCCTCATTCGCTTGGCGCCACACCTTATCACGTGTGTATCCGACACTTACTACCTCATGTTATTTTCCATTTTTTATTCTCTCATATTTATTATTAACGTTAATTTATTTTTCATTATTTTTTGTTTAAAGTTGTTTTTATTTTATTGATGAAAGAAATACCAATACCAACCAACCGCCACGCGCCTTGTACATCTGTAAATCTACCAGCTTTGATAATTACACGTGGTGTCTGTAATTATTATATAATGTAGTGTCATTTTCTGTCTCTCTCATTTTTCTGTGTGAATATTATCATTTTCTTTTTTCATCTGATCACGATTATTAGTTTAATCTTTTTTCCTTTCACCGTCACGGGAAATTTGACCTACTTTCGCTAAAACGACGTCTTACTAGAACTATCCATTGCAATAGATTTCAGAAGTAGAAACTGCAATAAATTTATTGACATCAATATTTTGCCTACAAAATAAAATGAATGTATTTTCTGCAAGATTTAAGAGAAAATAAAATGAAGCAGAAAACATTAGATCTTCATATACCAATGTTCTTCAGAGTTTGCAAGGAAATTAAATAACAATATTATTTTACATCCTTTTTGAATCATTCTATTTTTAATAAAAAAAAAAAAAATTCCTCCCCGAAAATAGTTTTTTGTTCTTACAGAAAAGTCATAGTCACACGACAACTCATGCAGATTCGTAAAGTATTATGTATTATTATTATGAGAGTTCGATTTGCCAACGCTACGATCAAACTTGGGTAGGTGAGTTGACGATATAATGTATATCCCAATTTCGAACTTTATTCAATAGACGCACGAAAGAACGTCATAAAGAGAATGAACGCTTTAAAGTAAAATTTGCATTTTTTAGAAATTTTTTTAAATCAAAACAAAGAAGAAGAAATGAACACGTATTTAGTCGCAAATTTGTCGAGTCAATGTCCCAACAAAAGTCAATGATACAAATTTAATTATATTATCGACAGATATAGTTACCCTAAGTTTAAATGAAAACTTAGATGACGAAATTTAGTGTGATTCTTAAATTATAATTGCGAAATCTAGTGTGTAAGATTTTTTTTTCCAAAATAAATTTATCTCTACAGTAATAAGATTGTATTCATATTTTAATTTAAAACATGTTGCAAACTTAACTTATAGAATAAAAATAAACATGCCGTTATGTATCATCTTAAAACAATTCTTTTCAAAATAATTTGTTCTTATCAACTAATAAACAAGTTGCATCCCATTAAAATCATGATTTTTAGAAGTTGAAAGTGGATTACAAATCTAACGAAAGGCAAAGGCCTATTTCATAACTGTTTTCTAAAATAGTAAAATTATTTAAAAACAATGAAAAAAAACCCAGAATTTTTTTATTTGATAACTGTATTGTGCTCAAACAAGTTTTAACCTTTTTTTCTTTAACAAAACAATTCTCTAAAGCAGAGTTATGAAACAAATTTTAAAAACTACGAAATCAAACAGACCCTTCAAATTTTTCACTTATGCTGAAACTTTATCTCGGACCTTTCAGAAAAGGTAAGATAAACAGACTTGGAACCCCTTTTTAATTTGCCACCAAATTCCTTTAAGCCACAGCAACTTTTTCCTACTTGAAAAAAAAGTTTCAGATAGCCAAATTACATTTTAAGGAGTAACAAACCACGGCCTCAACAAGTTTGAACTTGAGAATTAATGAGTCGTGTAAATTGTAACATCTATGATTACTCTCGAGAAAACATCTGTAGGAAATAAAAACCTCAACCAGATTGTCTTTTACAGCCAAAAATAAAGAAAGAAACTTCTTGGTAAAGGCGTAAACCCCCAATTGTCATTCAAAATTGAAGATTAACCTTCAACATGCAAGTAACAGAAGTTGGCTGTCCCCTTCAAGCTTCAGAACATTATAATATTACTATCTTGTAAATCCAACTCCAAAAACACCCCTCAGGAAGAATAAAAGTCAGCAAACGAATATATAACTTGTTTCAACGATTATCTATGTACAATGAGTCTATCAACATATTCACATTATACATGTGTATTGGATATTTGCATCATTAGTAATAAATATATAATGTATAACCAATTATAAGGGGATCCCTCATCCACATGAACCAAATATAGAGGACTTTGAATTGGCAACGGGAATCACAATGCAGGAATCCATCACGAGATAGAACTGTATATACATCAGGCAGTATTTGACAAACTACTTGCAGCTGAAAGAATGAAAGGCATAATTCTGTGACAAGAATGAGGTGCCATCTTAGTAGCGTAAACTGGAATAAAGTTCTTGAAGACTGGCGTACAAAGGTTGAGCAGCCTTTGGTCTGTCCACCATCCCTAGTAGAATGTCAGATGTGGTTAGATAAGGGTCCCCGTAAAAGCGTAAATTGGCATCCATCCTGGTTGCAACTATATTTCCTTCCATGGACACTCCCACAAATGCACCTGCAATTTGGCAAAATTCCCTGCTGTTAGCCTTACTTTCAACATTCTAAGAAAATATGGGAATAAAATAAGACAACTATAAAAACAAGGTAGTAGGCACAAGCACACAACAACAATAAATGGAACGGCACGCTCACGTTAGTGGAATGCATTAATTGTTAGTATTATATTATGGGAGTTACTATAGTATTCATTTTTTTTATCCTGGGAATCAATATCTTTCCTCCCTACAAAAAAAAGGAGATGGAAAGCCCAGGTTATGTTTCAGTGAATTACAAGGACAATGCTGGGCCATTGTGACAAAAAACTACCTAAAGGTTCAGTGGATCTGAAACTGTATATAACAATGACAAACTATTGACACTATAATGTGTTGCAGTAAAGAAGCAGCTCAAACAAATGCCTTCAGTCCACCATACAACACAATGAATACTAGCAAGTAGCAACACAAGGGCACAAGGTTCCCACAAAGTGGAGTTTGAGGAGGGTAGATGTGTCCAGTCTTACCCTTGCAAGCCGAGAGTTTCTAGAATTTGAACCCGTATCAGCAAGTATTAGTGATTACAATTTACAACCACTACTAGAGCCTATGGTTCCAACAGAGATTCCTTACAAGAGGAATTCTGCTCTCTAGAAGAAAAATCAGACTACTCTCCTCCCCCTCCACTACCATGCCTCCCTAATATCAACCCCCCCCCCCCCCCCTTTTCTAACTAACCCGTGCAATAAATCACACCTCTGCCCCCATATTTTTCTTCTTTCTCAAACATACCATCCATATTCTGGGCCTATCACCTGAACCCCGTAGCTGATAATACCCTTCTTCACCAGCAAATTCATCACTATAGCTAACAACCTGATCAGTAGCCTTGCCATTGTGTCAAGGTTTTCCCTTAGCAACACATTCTTATTATTGAAAAATAAATGCACGTTCCACCAAAAAGGAATGAGACCTACTAAACAAGGAACAGGACGCACATTATTTAGTGGGACCTACATGTACTTCACCTAATAACTAAGAGTCTATTGGAAAAAGTATGTTACTAGCATATCTCTACCATGCACTATTCTAGTTTCCTTAAAACTTGATGTCTAGCCTTGTGTATTAATCACATGACCTTGAGAACATACTAGATCAGATGTTGAACTTGAAACTATTCAATTTGCAAGATATAGTTTGGATACTACCATGATAAATCATAAATAATAGCCCAAATATGCCCATGCATTTAAATGAAATTAAATTGAAAAAAATAAAAAATCACCATAACTACCTTTACTGCAACTGTAAGTGTAACACATGCCAGAGCCTCTGTCACCCGCACGAATATCTGCCTCAAGCACTCTCCCAACAGGCCCTGCTGCAGCACTACAACCAGCACCAAGAGAAAAATGCATGCGACTGCAGAATGTCTTCACAGCTTTCATATCGTGAAGAACAATTATAAAATCCATAAGTTCACCACCAATCTGGGAATATAGGATGAAACACATATCCATAAGTCAAAAATGAATTTATAACAACCAGGTCAGCACAATCATTTATGCCCAGCGGGATTTTTTATATTCTCTACTGACTTCCGTCCTATTGTAAGGGTGGTATTTAATTAGTGGATAGCTTAGCTAAGGTTATTTCCAATCCAAGAGTGTTTCATATAAACAAGTCACAGAGTTAGAATATTCATGTTAATCAAAATTGAAGAATGAAAGAAATTCTAAACACAAGCAAATTTCAAAATGGCTCTACCTCCATTTGTTATATTCTTTCTCCATTTTTGTCAATCAAACTAAACTCGCATATTTTCTCCTTACCTGAGCACCCCATCCTAAACCCAAGGTGAATATAGCCGATGGTGCAGACCATGATCCATCTGATCTTCGAGCAACAACCAAGCCAGTACCCAGTTTGTAGGAGACCAGTGCACCAGCTTTGGCAACTGTTAAAATTGCTAGGCCTTTGGCATTTTTAAGAACAGCTAAAGGGATGGACTTCTCAGGATTGGATTTGGCCACCTGCCCGCCAAAATGTATTTCACATAACATAAAAACAGTAAGGGATCATATTCTGAAAATTCTTACCTAGATACGTAATGGATAGTAAAGCGATCAATGCAGAAATTTTAATCCAAAATAATATTACCAATGTAATGACAATCAGATATAACTATCAGGCAATTATATCATTGGAATAACAATATCACAGTAGAGTCACTTGCTCAATGAGAACTTCTTCAGGGGGGCTACAAAAATAAACAGAACTAACCTGACAGTAGTTTCTCAATGTATTAGATGCTTTATATATCTCATGTTCCATAGATAAACCAATGGGAAGATTAATCCATCCTCTAGCACAAGTCCAATCCATGACGTCATGCTTAGCTACCTGCACAGCATTGCTTATAGTGTTGATAAGAACACCCTGTAAAGGATCAAGCCTATCATAGCAGGCATCACAAACCCTCTGAGGATTCCTTTCCCTGAACCCAACAGGCAATAAACACCGCCCCTTTGTACAAGTTCGACAGAAAATTCCTCCACAAAACCGGCAATGATGTCTACCACGGGTAAGCACAGTAAACGGAGCATTACACTGCATACAAACAGTGGTAGAACTATCAGGGAGCCACTCAGGGGGTTCAGCTTCCAAAATCTCCTTGTAGGAATTATAATCAGCTCCATTTGGCAGACAAAGGGGCGGTGCACTCGGTGTGTACACTGATGAGTCAAGGAAAACATCCCCATTCTTTCCAGAATCAAGAAATGACACATTTGAACTTGGGAGCTGCTGGTTTGCAGCAACAGTTGGACCCCTGTTTTGTCCAGTTAAAATAGCAAAGATCCCAGAAAGCACATTCTTCAAGTTTACCTCTGGAGGCTTGTTAGAGGAAACAATACCATGAGCATCATCACCTGATTCATAACCTCCATCAAACAAGCCATCATCCTCAGAGGGGAACTGATATAATATCTCTTGGTTTGAGAAGGTTGAGCCCGGTGGGCCAATTGTAGGGCCGGACTTAGGCTCAGACCATGCAGATTCACCATGGTGATTCGTGGCATCGTACCCAAAATGGGTGTTTTCCTTTTCTAGATTAGAAAGTGAAGAGTATGTAACTCTACCATCGGAGGCTGCCATTCACAAACCAAACTAGACTGCATCTACTAAATAAAACAATCCGAAACTGCAGTAGAAAGTTCCCAAGTTACAAACTTTGTACAAGAGACATGGCATAAAAAAGTATATATATATATATATATATATATATATATATATATATATGTGTATATAGTAAATCAACAAAGGGAACAACAAGGGTTTATGAAAAGCTTTAATTGAGAATCGAATGCCTGCAGAAAACCCAAACGCGCAAAGAGAATACGATAATTTATCAACCAAAAAAAAAAAAAAACTCTAAGAGGGATGTAAAATTAGGGTTTGGATAGATAGGATAACCAAAAGGAATCAAGCATGAAGTAAGAGAATTACATGAACAATAAAAGGATTAAACAATGATAAGCTTCAATCGAATGATTAACGGTGCGAAGCTTAATTTATGTTGAAGTGAATCGGGAAACGGAATCGTCGATACACACCTAATGGAAGTCGAAGGAGACGCAAAAGATAAGAGAGTCCAACGAAGAGAGACAACCTCAAACTCAAAGAAACGTTGTTTTTGTTGGAATTGGATTATCCGATAACCCAAATTGATCTTTACCTAGGAAGGGAACTGCCCGTTATTTTATTGGAAATTGTACGACGTCGTTTACACGGCCCACACTTGTGTCCTTCAAATCAAATTAATCAATATTTGAGATTAGTAATTTTTTGTTTTAGACTGACTTTGTTTCTTTTTATTTTTCTTATTAAGATCGAAATGTCACATTGGCTTTCTAGTTAATCCGGGTGGAATTGAGTAAGATGATTGTGAGCGTTAAATCGTTAATCCTTCAGTTTAAGTTAAAATTATTATAATTTAGTTACGTTTAATTAACATGTTACAAGTTAGAACCTACAATAGATATATATACTTGATGATTTAGATTATTAATTCAGTTTGGTTCGGATTATTGGATTTTTTAAAACAAAAATAGCTACCTAGATATTTAACTAATTAATGCATTATTTAGTGTTTTAAAATGGTTTTTAATATTCCCATGCAATGATAATATTTAAACAATGACAAGACATAAAGTTGTATAAATAATGTACGTAAAATTTTATTAATTTTTATTTTTTTATATTTTTCAATCAAAATATATCTTTTAGCCTACACTCAAATAAATTCGATTCAATTACTTTCTCTTAGCATGGCCCACATTATTTATTTTATATCAATCAAATTGGGAAATGTTGCATACAATGTCGAATGTATTTATCTTATAATTTATAATGTCTCCTTTTCTGTGTGTTGGACTATGAAATAAAATAAGATAATGAAGCGTATTAAGATAAAGTTGAAAGTATATAATAAAATTGAAGCTTCATTTTATTATTTAAATATATAAGAAAATAAATATGTCCCTTTTTTAGGAAAAAAAAAAGATGTCCCTTTCTATCATTTAAATAATTAAAAAAAATTAGAATGGTTTATAGCTTTCTTATCTCATCACTGTCGACATTTTGATTTGCATGAAATAATGGACCCTGAAATTTTCATTCCTAAGTAGGTTAGGAGTTAATTAGGGGTTTGCATTCTCTAGTAAACTAACAACAATTACATTTGTTAATATTATACGAGCATGATATTTTAAGTTTTAAAATAGTTAATACACTCCATTGACTTTCTACTTTGTGAAGTATTGTTTTTTTAAAATTTTTAAAATAAAGTTCAAATATATTAAACAAATAACAATTTTTTAAGTTAAAAAATAACTAACAGTTTTTACTGTCACAAAAGTTTAAATATTTGATTTATACGGTTTTGTTATAAGCTCCCTGAGTTGTAAATTTTGAGCGTTAAATTTTAATTATTTTTTACTTATTTATCTAAACCTTTCCATTTATGTTAGATTGATCCAATCTATTAAATATAAAATACAATTTTTATCTGAGTTTAAATTTTCTTTTTAAAGTTTAAGTATTTATCTATCTAATTCAACAAAGTTCAAGTTATTTTTGTTTTCACCTAATTTAACAAAGTTCAAAGTCTAGAATAAGCCAATCCAACGCAGATCAAATACCATTTTTATAGTCTCTGAGGTTATCTTTTAAAACAATCATCCAATTGTATTTTACTAACAAAAACAATAATAATTTACTTATACTAAATTTATATTTTCACCCTACTTTTCCTTCTACAACTGTTACATCAAGCAACAGTTGGTTAAATTATTCAAGTCTCTCTTACAACTTTGCTCTGTATTTCAGTATTTACTGATTCATTTTAATTTTTGATGAAGGAATTTATAGATTTAAAATATAGATATTTTGAAATTATTATTGGTTAAATTATTACATTGTCTTGAAAAAATCATTTGAATAGCATTTATTGCTTGAAGGTGCAGGCCCCTTGTTCGTAACTTTCATAAGGACCAAATAAAATCATACAACGATTAGTTAAATTTTTTTAAAAACGTAGAAATACATGAAAATTAATTCCACAATCGTTGGAAAAAAAATATCTAAACAAATAATGGTTATAAATTTTCGCACTTGCAAATTAAAAATACGGAAATAACGTATACAAAATGATAATTCCAAACATTGTGATTAAACGATTTATTTGCAATATTCAAATGAGTAATTTGTAAAACAGATTAACTTTACCTTTGAATTCCATGTGGCATGCCTTTTTAACTCACTTTTCGAATATGATATGCATTTCACGTCCTCGTGGATTTTCACTTTAGTCAATTGGTTTTTTTATTCAACCATGTTGTCAATAGAATACTATTCAATACCAAAAAATATTATGAAACTATTTCCCAATTCCACGTGATAAGAAGTTTCGAAAGACTTTACTTCTTTTTTAAACTTTTTCATTAATTGTTAGAAAACAATCATTGAATGTTATGAAAACTTGTCTAATTACAATTTGCCATCTGAATTAGAGGAAAGGCATGACTCATTTAATAATCTGAGTTTTACGTTCATACACTTCAGAAAATTATATACCGTGTTAAATGATATTTAAAACAATGTTATATAATCATAATTTTGATTTCAAATTTTAAGATTAAAATTGGGCACCTAATACTATATGTATTCAAGTAGTTTCAAAATGATTGAAAGGAATGACGTGCGTGGATTCGAAAAACAAGTAAACTAAAAGAAAAAATCAAATCAAAATAATATTGTCTTCCTTTGATGGGGATAACTGAGAGGGGTCAACCCAAAACCAAACATGTCACAGATGAAGGAAAAACTCCATTTAAGCTTTGTATTTATTTTTCAATAAATATTATTATTGTTATTTATTAAAACTCAGATATAAATTGTAAAGTTAGCATTTAAAATACATTACAGTACTTGATATGTATTTAAAATGCGGACCAAATATGAAATACACATCATTATTTATAAATTAAATGCATACGAGGTATCTTAATCTTTAAACGCATTTAATACACACCATAAGGCCATTTGATAATCAATAAAAATATGATAAAATAAAGAGATGGTTGAGTCTTCTAAGTATATTAAATAGGTTCATTTTCAGATGACACAAACATATGTGTGTGTGTATATATATACACACATTAACATATATTATCAAGCAGAAAATAATCTTAACATGAAAAGGGGGCATTCTACAAGACTATGTAAGAACTCCATTATAGTATTGCCGTCCTGAACGATAATTAAGATTGAATAATTGTAAATTTAGTTTCTCATTCATCTTCTCGAGTAGCCGTCGCGAGCTAATTTAGATGACACGTTTCACATTTACGTCGGTCGTTGAATATGAATAATAAATTGGATTTGTAAGGAAAAAAAGAGAAAGAAGAAGAGACAACTAGTTACGTATTTAATTGTTACCAATTACGTTTGCAATACACATTCTTCTTATCAATAATCGATAAATAATAATTGTAACATTGCTATTTCAGATACGCGTTCCTTTTTTTTTTCTTTTCTTTTTCGTTTTTTTTCTGTCGAATTTTCAATGTGTGGACGTAGAATTCACACATTAAATATTAGTTTATTTACTTATTTAAATTCGATGTTGTGGTTTTGATTTGTTCTTTGGATCTGATCTTCTTCCTTCCCCCTCTCCTTTTCATCGACTGAAAATTTCATTATTTAAAAAGTAAAATTAAAAACATATATTCATTTTTTAAAAGAAATTGAATCAATAATTAGCAGCTCTTGTTCCTATTCCCGTGGTTCCAACCTTTCTGTTCTCGAACCTCCCAAATCTTCTTTCTTCTAAATTTTCACCCAGTTTTTCTCTGCTCGATCTTCTCATCGTTTCTCGTTCCCTTCCGCGTAAAGATTCCATTTTCAAAATACCCACATGCTGTGATTCTCTGTATGCGAGTGTACCAACACGTGATCCATTCTTTTACAAGCAAAAGAAAATAAAAAAATTCAATTTTTCTTTCTGGGGTGGCGATTTTTCGATCTGGGTATGTGGAAGCTTGAGTGAGGAACAGTGGGTCGTGGTTGGTTGTAGCAGATAGGCGAAGCAGAAGCAGAGGCGGTGGCAGTGATGGTTGTGGCGGTTCTGGTTGGAGAAGGTGGCGAAGCTGAGGGGATGAAGAAAGATCAATAATTTTAAATCAGTTTTGGGAAATAATGCTGTATCTGAAGCAGCCTAGAGTTCAGGATATGGGATTGTATTTTTGGGTTGTGGGATTTTTGCATTGTGTTGATTCTGAATTTTGGTAATTTGGCACTCTTTGCATGCCAGTTTGGTAGTTTCCCTGAGCCTGAGGCTCGGGGGATCTGAGTATCATACAGAAAGTCATGGCATCGTCAGAGAAGGAACCTTTTTCTCACTCTCCTTCTGCCTCTGACGAAACCCCTCCTCCTCCTTCCAATCTTTGTATGCAGAAATTTAGGCTATATGAGACTCGATCGGTAATGCCCTTTTCTTCTTCTTTCGACTGTTTTGCAACTATTGTTATAGTTTTTTGTTTCTACTTGTTGTAAGGGATGAGGATCTCTTCGATTCTGTCATGTGATTTACTTGTTCTGTGTTGTAGAAATTAGAAAGTACATGTGAATGATTTTAATCACAAAAAGTATTGTCAATGCAATTGTTTCTTGTTCATATTTGTGTACAGTGATCTGTAACACGTTTTATTAGGCATTTTTTTTATCGTAGTTGTGCACCATTGCGTCAAAGTTGGCTCTTAATTTTATGTAGCTGTGTTGAATGTTTTTGGAAGAGACCTGACCACCTAGTCATCCAATGAATTGGATTTCTTTAAGGATGATAGGCTGCAATATATGTTTTGAGCTTCCTTATATCGATTACGTTACAATATAAGAATCAGTTAGAAAGAAGAGAAGTACCTAACTTGGTTGCTTCATGCCATGTTTTGATTAAATTCCAATTCTATTCCTACTTTAATATTCTTATATATGGCTTTTGCCTTTCTGAAATGCTTCAGAATGATATCTTTATGCCATTGCATTTGAGCATCCACGTGGATGTTTCAGAGTTCCTCTTTACCTTAAAGTGGGATATGTCATTTATCTTAACTTTGAAAGTGGGTCCTCTTCAGCCTCTCGTCATGCTTTAGATGCTTGGCTGTATGGAATTATCATCCCTGTGTAATCCAATGTGTCCATTAAGCTTGGGATATCCCATTTGGGAAAATTGAGTTACAAAATTGGATGTGTTTTGGAGTTACAGTGTCTATCATGCTTTTCTTTTATTTAAAATATTTACTTTTCAACTTCTTTTTTTAATGTTTTATGCTGCAGAACTTTTACATGATAGGAAGGGACAAGAGTAGGACATATTGGAGAGTATTAAAGATTGACCGTCAAGATCCTTCTGAGCTAAATGTGCGTGAAGATTCAACCACATATACAGAAAGTGAATGTTCTGATCTTTTGAGACGTATACATGAGGGGAACAAGTCCACCGGTGGTTTGAAATTTGTTACAACTTGTTATGGAATTGTTGGTATGTAAATCCATAATGTCTTGTCCACTTTCCTGTTGACCAATTATCAATTTTATCTTGATATGTTATTCTGCTTCTAGGTTTCATCAAATTTTTGGGGCCTTACTACATGCTGCTTATCACGAAAAGAAGGCAAATTGGTGCAATATGTGGTCATGCAGTATATGCCGTCTCAAAGAGCGAGATGATTCCATTGCCAAATTCTTCAGTTCGATCTAACATCATCAATTCTAAAAATGAAAACAGGTCTTTACAACCTTGCGTGTTATATTAGTTGTACTTTTCATGAAAAAGCTGAATGATTGCGCAAGTGATGCTCATCATATATTTTCATATTAATATAAATATATTTATTTTCTTATTTTCAATTTGAATGCTGATATTATATCTTTCCACTGTTTCCTTTGACTATTAAAAAAAAAAAGCTTAAGTTATGTTTTAATTTACCTGGATTTCTAATGGTCTTTCATTTTCTTTCCCTTTATCCAATTTTTAAATTACTTCAAGTCTCTTCTGTTTAACAACCTTTAAGTTAATTTAGAAATTAGTGCAAATTTCATGTTAAAATTATATAATTACATCCCTTCTGTTTGATTCAAATATAAATGCTACATGTCAAAGAAGTACATTGATTTGCTGAGGAAAACTTAATTATGATTAGACTTTTGTTTATTATGAATTTTTTTATATTTTAGAAGCGTCATGTGGTTCCTATTCTTAAAACCATCTTTGAATGTTAACAAATTTTTTTGGCCTTAAGTCAAATTTTACCATTCTATTCTATTTATATTATCAGGTTTTATATTATATTCATTTTTTGTTGATTTTTTAGGTACAAGAAGCTCCTATGCATGGTCGACCTTACAAAGGACTTCTTTTTCAGCTACTCATATCACATTATGCGTAGTCTTCAAAGGAACATGTGTGATAGTGAGACAGGCCATGTTCTTTATGAGACCATGTTTGTTTGGAATGAGTTTTTAACTCGAGGTATTAGGAATCACCTCCAGAATACTATTTGGACAGTTGCACTAGTGTACGGCTTTTTTAAACAGGTGCAGATAAATGCAAAATTCCATTGGATACTGTATTCTTTGATTGATTAATGTTGTTAAGTATCTGATTCCTGCTTAATTCAAGTTTTTGTCATCCTGCACTTGAATATCTGATGGCTATCTGGTGGCTTTGTCAGGAAACACTTATGATATCTAGACGGGAGTTCGTACTTACACTCATTGCAAGACGATCCCGTCATTATGCTGGCACTAGGTCCGTTAATTTCATCATATTTTCATTCCAAACACATTACAGCATTGAGTTATTTTCCAATGTGATAACATGCTGCATATCCTCCAGTTGGCATCTGATTCTATAATTTGACTATTTGTAAACTTAGGTATCCTCTGATGGTTGTACCCTTATTGTGCTGAGGATTTCATCCTTATACAGTTATATTCTGGTCATTTTTCTTTTCTTTTCTTTTTTTTTTTGGTATTTTCTAGTTGTTTTGAATTGTCTCTACGTCTTTGCAGTTTGAATATTGAATGAGTATACGATTGGGAATGTCCCAGAGAATAATCTATCTTTTGTGTTCTTATGCTGGCATATGTTGAAAATTGGATTTAGTATTAGTTTAGGAAATAGTATGTTCATGTATCACATGATAAAATGCATTTAGTACTCATGGATATTAGTGTCTAGGAAGTTGCAATTAATTAATGGTAACCTAGGAAGTAGTCTTCACTAAGTCTATTAAGGGACTATATATATGGAAGATTTGTCAAACCTATGTACAAAACTAAATCCTCTTGAATAAGAAAGGTTTTCATTTTCTAAATTATCTTTAAAAAATTCTGTTCTCTCTCGCCTCTCTTTATCTCCCCATCTAAATTCAACTGTATGTGTCTGTGTTTTCCATGTGGGTATTGAAGAAAAGTGAGAAGGTAGAGGTAAACTCTAAACACAGTCTTTTCAGAATATTAAATTTCTTGTTAGCTTTGCAAAGTTGACCATGACTGGAAACCTGAACGCAATTGTTAAGCCAGATTTTCTGTCACCATAAGTGTGTGAATATATATATATATATATAAAGAAGCAGCATCTTGAAGGATAGATATGGTAGAAAGGATGGATACATATTTGCAATAATTATGTGTATAATTTACAGCTTCATTTATTTAATTGTGCATAGGTATTTGAGGCGAGGCGTTAATGAGAGGGGCAGAGTAGCAAATGATGTTGAGACAGAACAAATAGTCTTTGAGGATGTTCCAGAAGGACTTCCCATCCAAATAAGCTCTATCATCCAGAACCGTGGTTCAATCCCTCTTTTCTGGTCACAGGAAACTTCAAAACTGAATATTAAACCAGATATTATATGTATGTCTTCCCATTTTGCTAATATTGTAAAACTAGAGTTATTTTTCTCTTATATTTTCTACTTTGATGCAGTGGTGTTCATATTTTTACTTATGTATTCATTTATTTTTCTCCAGTATCAAAGAAGGATCAGAATTATCAAGCCACCAGACTTCATTTTGAAAATCTTGTCAAAAGATATGGGAACCCCATTATTATTTTGAATTTAATAAAGGTAATCTTCTTTTTCTTTCTTTTTTTTTTAAAGGAAATGAATTTGTTTCCCGCAATTTATTACTTTCCATTATCTGAATTCCTGAGCATTCAATTTCCTTGTATCTTGGTTGAGTTGACATGTATTAACGTTGTACTAGATTGTCTTCACTAGTTTTGTTATAAAATATTTGTCAAAATAAAGTAAAGAGGGCAATATAATAATGACAAAGTGCAAGTCTTCTCCTAATGGAATGTACTGTCTTATGTTGATTTTTTAGAACATATCTACAAAATATTTAAAGGAAGAGAATGATGCATGATAGATTAGGATAACCTATGGGACTATTGCATTAGTATTTATTATAACCTTAACATCATAATACAACTTAGCAATCCTATTCTTTTTGAGTCCATATTATCTCCTTTTCTTGTTCCTTACCCAGACCTCATTATTTCAACTGTTTCATTTTTTATAAGACATTTGGGGGATTGATAAGTTTTTTCTTTTAACCACCAGACGCATGAGAAAAAGCCTCGTGAGTCCATACTTCGTTCGGAGTTTGCTAATGCCATAGATTTCATTAATAAAGATTTATCCGAGGAGAACAGACTTAGATTCCTTCACTGGGATCTGCACAAACATTTTCAGAGGTTGGTTTTTTCATTATATAATTCTATCCCTCTCAACAAATTACAATACGTTTTCTGATGAAGCTGATTCAAAAGTATGCCTTGTATTTCACTTCCAGCAAAGCTACAAATGTCTTGCAGCTTCTTGGCAAAGTGGCTGCATATGCCTTGACATTAACAGGTTTTTTCTATTGCCAAGTGACACCAACCTTGAGACTAGAAGAATGTGTTAAGTGGCCAATTACAGAGTAAGTTTTTTTCATTTTGTTTCAATTCTTCCAGTTATCTTTTTCACCATTTCTTAGATTTTCTGCCCATATACTTGTATAATGTCTTGAGGAAAAGACAAGAACAATGATATAAACCAAACAGTATTGATGAAAAAGGGCATTTAATGTTTGATGGACAGAGGAAATACCTAAAGTTCTTCTACTAACATTTTTTGTTTATTAATTTTAAGTTTTGCATGTAGCAATGTTGATAAGGGAACTTTTTCACCTACTAAAAATCATGATGATGATGATAAGGAGGATGACAATTTAGAGAGGAAACCAAGTGAAGGAAACAATGTTCCCAGTGAAAACCATTCTGTCAAACAACCCATGTTGCAGAGGGGAGTGCTTAGGACCAACTGCATAGACTGCTTGGATCGCACAAATGTTGCGCAATATGCATATGGGTTGGCTGCTCTTGGCCACCAGCTCCACGCTCTGGCAGTTATTGACCACCCAAAAATTGACCTTGATGATCCTGTAGCTGATGATTTGATGGGGTTTTATGAGCGGATGGGTGATACACTTGCACATCAGTATGGTGGTTCTGCTGCACACAACAAGGTGATTTGTAACTCTGGTTCATTACTATTTCCTCAGTTGCATATTCTAACATAGCTTGGAAACTAAATTTTTGCTAGCTCTTTCTCTTTCTTAATTACCTTTGAAGGCAGTTGAATAAATTTGTTTTTAATAAATATTATTGTGGGGCTTACACTTTATGATGGTAAGATAATCATCAACCTTCTCTTTTGGGGATAGAGAAAGTAGACCTCTTTATTTTAACCACAGTTCATAGCTATCTAATTGTGTTGTCTGAACCCTTGTTAGCTTTCTTGTTGGTATTGTATGAATGGACTGCTATCCTGTGTTGATTCCTTGTGTCATTTCTAGAGAAAATTGAATACAGGTGTGACTATCAGTAATTATCTCTGGTCATGCTTAATGTAAGAAACTAGAATTAATTTTGCTTTAACGAGAATCGGTTAATCCACTGATGGGTTGGTCTATCTGTTAGATTATTCTTTATTTCCTGCCTATTATATACTTTACTGTTAAATGGGTATACTAGCAGCGGTCATGGGATTTTCTTGCCTCATACGACTTCACTGTACATTGGTATAATGTGTTTTTACCCTTTTCTGATTGTTTTGTTCTTTAACTTTTGTTTCTATGCAGATTTTCTCTGAGAGGAGGGGCCAGTGGAGAGCTGCAACACAGTCTCAGGAGTTTTTTAGGACTCTTCAACGCTATTACAGCAATGCATACATGGATGCTATGAAACAAGATGCAATCAATGTGTATGTTCTACAGTCATGCATTTTTCAATTTTTTCTATATGGCTCCTAGTTTTTCCAATACCCAAATGGATTTTTTGATTCATTGTTTTTGCTTTTCTATTTCTCCATCTCTCTGTTAGAGGGAGTTTTGTACTGGACAAGAAATTTTTATACAGAAAGAAAGATAACACAGTAGGATTAGGAATCTTCCTCAAACACTGCAAAACAAAAATGAAACAATGACAACGCAGCAAAGTTTTTCACTCCTTTTGCATGTCTTTCTGTCCTCTATAATTGTAGCAGCTTTTCTGCTTTTGTCATACTATTTTTTGGCGGCCTGTACTTTTGTGATATATTGTGTGTTCATAAAGATGCCTTTGTAATCTTAACTGATTATGCTCTTCTAATCATGGGATGATCTTTCTGTTCATTTTGGCAGATTCCTGGGGCATTTTCAGCCACAACAGGGTAAGCCTGCTCTATGGGAACTGGGTTCAGATCAGCACTATGATGCAGTGAGACTTGGAGATGATGATGCAAGGTATTTGAGTATGATTTATGGAATCAAATGCCTTTTATTTTGTAACCTTCTATGAATTGGTCCTTGATTGAAGATCTTGCATTGGGGTTTTCTTTATCTGGAATTTACATAGTTTACGTTCCCCTTCCATATTTTCTACATCATGATCTATGGGACAGACACCATCATTGATGCTTGGAGAAGCAAAGTATAAACAAAGGTTGATATTGGTTAAAAAGGACCTAGGGTGAAATTGTTGCATCCAATAGATATTGGGAGAGAAGCAACAAAAAAAATAATTTTTGGAAGAGAAGACAGGATGAAGAGATGTGGTAGGCAGCTAATAGAGGGACAGAGATATAGATATAAGTGCAAAGACGTCAAATTTAAAGTTATATGTGATAATATAGCTAGGATATGCCTAGTATGTGTTAAGAGTTTATAGGAAGTGTGTATCAAGTGTCAAATATTAAAATGATTGTACTTGGAATTTGGATCCCTAGGGTACTAAATTGAGGTGTGGGATAGTCAACAGTACAATTGTCGAGTGTCTGATGATACACGTTAGACATGGCTTCTTTTTCTTTAGTTCTCATTTGTTGTCTCTTTAAAGATTATTACTAGGATGGAAAAAGCAAGTCGGGTAGGATGAGAAATCCTCCTAACTTTAAAAAATAAATATAGAAAAAAGAGAGAGAAAATGTGGTAAAGATCTCCAATCTCTTTGTATTTCAGTAACAGAAAAATCCTTACTGCAGCCATGAGCAGAGCACTAAAGAGATGCAATAAACATACTCCAATTCAATAACCAAGGTAACAGGCAAGAGACATCTTAAAAATGCAGGCTTTTCTCTCCAACCTAATAAGGCTAGAAGACAGCATTGATCACACGCATCATACATTCTTAGGCTCCTTATTCCTGTCATAATCTTCAAACTGTATCATGAGAAACTGCTCCAAGGTGGCAACCCCAAACTGATAAATTTAATAGAAAGTAGTTCCCTTGCAAGACAAAAGTCAATGGGCCCAAATTAAACTCCCAACAACCAATAGACAATGAAAGATTGTGGTTCTAAATTTTGGGGGAGGGAGGCTAGAGAGGGGAAGACAAGCTGCAGAGAAGTGACAAGGCAAGAGAGTATTAAGAAAAATGAGGTGGATGATCATCCAAGTCAAACCAAAGCCATCATTTGCACAGAAGTTGATGAAATCATGTTTACTTTTTATGCTTATCTCAACTGATATGTGTTTGTTGATATTTCATGATCATTGGGCTTGTTGCAAATATGATGATGACTGAAGCATGTGTGTTGAAAGTTCCTGTCTTTGCAGCTAATGGTAACTTTGAAATTTGTCTTTTTTAGGTCATTTTTCAAAAGATCCTTCTCAGATGGAAACATTCTTGATGAAAGTTCTACACCTATGTCAGCCCCAAATTCCAAGCACGAAAAATTCTCAAACCCAGGTTTACCAGACCGATCAGGAGAAGGAAGCAAGGGTTTTTGTGAGTCATCACCTGAAATATCTACTTCTGAGTGTGACATTTCACTTTCAAGGTTAGAATCCTGTATTAATTTGAAATTGTGATGTGTAATCTGTTTCAAGGTATTCAGGAGGCTGTAGATAATCAATATTCCATTTTAGACATGGTCTCTTTTTCACTCATTTTATATAATGTCTCTTTCTTACTGGCATTATTAGTTACCTTAATCTGGAAAAATTTTGCCTTCTCATAGCAGGCCTTTTCTGTATAATAAATAATTTCTGAAAGATGGGAAAGAATTATTCTATTTGTAATGGTCCGCTCTTTTCTCTGTCCTCAGCTGTGTTTTTATGTTGAAATGCCCAATTACAAAGTCTGCAATTTGTAATCCCAAATGTGTTAATGATCATACTGTCCCAATACAAAATGGAAACTCAGGCTTCCTGCTCGCACGATGTCATGTTCTGCCATTGCTGTTTCATTTTCTTCATTGAGTCTGTATGTGTGATATACAATTCATTTTGTCTGTGTAGGTTCACTCCCTCAATGCCTCGGAGACAGCTTTTTGGAGACATGCAAAGAGAGCGCTACCTGGAAAGCGAACATATTTACTATTCTGAGCATGGAGATTCCTTCAGCTGCTCCAACTTTGTTGATCTGGATTGGCTATCTTCTTCAGGAAATTCATGTGAAGAAGAGCCATTTGAAAGGTAATTCTTTCTAATGAAGCAATTGTGCAAGTACCTAGAAACGTCTTGTTGCAGGGATATTTTATTAGATGAGAAAAAATATTATTAAGAATTATGAATTTTGGGTGTGGATATCCGTGTCACTACTATCTTGGGTATATCATGTACTCGTACAAAATTTGTCCATGTTTCTTTCCTTCTTTCTGGTTTTATGTTATTGTTTTATCCAAAATGTATGTTTAGTTTTGAGGCCAATTTATACTGAATGCAGATCTTCAATTACCAACTCTCCAATTGCCGGAGTTTCTTCAGAAAATGTTGTCAATGGAATGATTGTAGGAGAAACAACTGCCTCCACTAGTGACTGGGGGAGCTCCAGCCTAAAGGTACCCACCCCTTCTGATGTAGTTTAATACGACATTCATAAATTCCTCATTCCTGTATATTCTTTGTGCATTCATACCTGTGGATATGTAATAGATTTAATCCTCTAATTATCCATACTAGTTTTCATTCACAAGATGCAGTGTATATAGCTCTGTGTCATGAATTTTGAGCTCATTGTTATGGTAGGAAAAATGATATACAGTTCATACTGTTCTTGGAGGTAGGTTTTACTCTGATCTGACGACAGATTAAGTATTCAGCGAACGTTGCGCAATGATCTATTAGCATTCATTAGGATTGCATGAGTTATCCTACAGTAATATGTTTGACTTCTTAAATTGCTTGGCTGTTATTGCAGAATTCACATACTAATTCTTTGCAGTATTCTCAGGGAAGGGAGCAGACTGAACCAGAGTTATCCTACACAAATGCAGAGTCCAATGCACCGGAGGAATTTCCAGATACTTTTGTAAACTGGGTGACATATGGACAGACACTTTGCCATTGAAGTTTTGCATATGATCTTTTGCACTAATATATAGGTGACATTTTTTTGGCTTGGTCTAAAAGATGCTGATTAGAAGAGACTAGAGAGAGCTTATCATAAGGAACCGGGTAAAGGAAAGAATCAAGCATTTTGGGCTCTGTATGGTGCGATCATTCTTGGGGTTGACATGCGGCAGCATTAAGTCTGTTGTGGAAGTCTCAGTCAAGTCCTGAAAGCATAGTAGAAAATAGTGCATAGCATGTGGTTGTAAAATTCTTTGCTGTCTTCTCTTTTTGGTTGTTTTCCTGAACTTCAATGTTTCCATCCTCTTTCCCCAGTTATAGTAGGCGCACTTTTTGTAAATATCATTACCGTGGTTCTGGGAGCTCTACTTTTAGAATTGTAGATAAATTGATTCTTTTAAATAACTTTGCTTATTGTAACGTATAATGTAGTAGTAGCACTCATACGCATGGTCACACTAATCTGCTTCTGCCTTGGTGCGGTTCTTTCGAGTTGATGTTTTGAAGTTCTTACGAGGAGCAATGCCCTTCAAGCTCTTAAAACTTGTTTTAAATTTTGAGCGTGTATCGAGTGGCGCCTTGCGCTACAGCGCCGTTAACCAGTGAATTAAGCATTTATTTGATTTAATACGATTTAGTCCGACTAACTGAATCATGCCAGTTCAATTCGTTGCTCAACTCATTTCATTTCAAAATATCTTGTATCTATTCATTGTGATATTTTCTGAATTTTTATGTAAAACTATAAATGCCATACTTATCAAGGAGTTTTTTTTATTTATTATTTGATCAATCAGCCCAGTTTTAAGAAGTTTCTTTCAAGTCAAAGCATGCTTGCGCACCTTAAAAGAGTTGCATTATCAACTTGGCACAATTAAAGGAATTTAGCTTAACATTAAACATTTAGGGATAAAACAAAGATGCAGAAGTAATTTCTCAAGTTGAAAACATTACTAAGCAAATCGAAATCTGGATAAACTTACTATTTGATCCCTACAAATTAAAGAAATAAACTTGCACAAGTAACATTTAAAATTTTCCCATTAAATAATTCACCTCAAATGGATTATTCCCTTCTATTCTTTTTGTAAAAAATAATTATCAATATTCTTTATCTTAGGATGTTTTATTTTAATGCTAACATTAATTTTTATATAGATTAATTGCTAAATTTTTACCCCTTTATTTATTATAAATTTTATACCTATATAAATTAAGATATTCATTCATTTAATAATATAAATTGACTATAAATTGCCAATTGACCCTTTTAGTATTTGTAATACTTTCAAGTACCGTATAAGTTTATAATATATAGCGCGTAGGTCTCCGTTAGATCTTTAATTCTCTTAAAAAAGATAGGAGTATTTATCGCACGTACTGCCACCATGCCGTGTCCATACTAGAAAACGTCTCTTTACCCCTTCAACTCCCAACTCCGGATTTCTTCTTTAACAACTCCTAAAATGTATATTGTGAATACAAACCCTGTCCTAACTAGTCAGCAAATTTGAAAGGAACGGTAAAGAGAGAACGCTATCTGTTCAACGAATAATAAAGCACATCAAAGCAAATAAATTCAGACATGTATACAAAACATGAGTAAACTTAAATAGCTGTCCACTAATTCTTAAATTGAAGCATCCAAGGGGAAGGCAGACAGACTGCAAAATGACTAATCTCAAATTCACATATCTCCTTCAGGGAAAGAAAATCTGCAGTTTGCGATACAAAAATTAGCTAAGAATAGGGAAGATGCGAGTAATGTGCTCCAATGGTACACTATCTGCAGTGTTTTTCTTCAAAGCTGGGTCATTAAATTCATTTCTAGGAAGGACAATGAGTTGACCTCTGCCTTGGCTTTTCTCAATAACCCAACCACAGTTGGCTACTTGGTGTTCGAGGAATTTGTCCAAGGATAAACCTTCTATGTTGATAGCCTATGAAAGTTTAACACACAATAAATAATCTAATACTTCAAAGTAACAAGAAACTAACCTCTCTGACAATCAATCATACAGGTATGTGAAAGTGAAAAAAAAAAAAAAAAAACACACACACACACACAACTAACCATTCCCTCAAAGAATCCAGAACACTGGTAAATAGTCTGACTGAATTATTAAATGTATAAATCACATCAAACATGGATCAATTAACAAATAGAGAATAAATGCACCAGATTTTGCACTAGCAGCAACTAGCTGGAGACAGAAAAATACTACAGTAATAATGAACCAGTGCCTCAAATGTACGAAATTACAAGCATACCTCAGCAAGCACAGTTCTAGGAACCTTTTGGTAAGTCAAGGAGAGGACATGGATTGCATATCCTTGGATTTCCTGCTCAAATCCTGCAATTAATTTCCAATTAAGCCACTGTATAAGCATGGATTAACAAAAATAAAAATAAAAAAATTGTTGAAGTTATGAAGCTCAATCAGTGTCAAATCCCAACAAGAAGAAAACCAGCCTCATCAAGCTAAGTGAAAATCTACACTTATTTCCGGAAAAGTAATATTATCAGCCATGAAATATAGAAACAGCAAATTACAAAGCATGCATCAGTTCATAAAAGGTAAATAGCTGACAAAATTCAGTTAAAGTTTACACTGTATGAGATCTGTCGCAACTCAGATAATATAGGCTTACTGTCATGGCAAGCAGGGTAACAAGGCTTCCAAATGACAAGACCCAATTAACAAGACAGCGCACAATTAAATAAAACAGAAACAAGGTGTCCAAATTAAAAATAAAATAAAAATTAATAGAGATGTGAAATCTATCAGTTACATCTGGTCATAACACCCAATTCTCTTTTCATAAATTATAAAATATAATTACCTGGCACAGCTTCAACAATATGACGACTTTTTGCTGCCTCATCCCAGAACTGCCGGAATCTTCCTGTCTGAAGAAGAGGCTAGTATTAATCTCTAATTTCAAACAACTGCATAAGACTTGAGCAACTAAAGCCAATGCTTACCTCCAAATAATGAGACAGAACAATCAAAGTCTTGAACTGCTCCTCCATTTGCTAACATTCATAACAAACAAAAATCATCATGAAAAAAAGAAATCAAAATGCCACACATAAGAAGGAATCGCATTCGTCAATGATATAGTCAGGCAACTTCAAATTCAGACAGAAGGTTCCTCAAAAACCAGAAAAATACCAGAGACTCATAAGAATCCCATAAAATTTCCAGATTTAACTGAGTAAAAATCATAAAATCGCAGATGATTATTAACTCCTATTTACTCAAATAACTCGAGTGACTAAATTATTCAAATATCTAGTTATATTTGCACAAAAACAAGAAAAAACTACTAATTTACTACAAAGAAAAGAATAATCATTTGTGAGAAACGTACCACACGTTCGGGAATCAAAAAGAGACACAGACTGAAGTCCGGAGCTGGCATTGCCATGAGAGCCTGTTCAAAAAGAATAAACGAAAAACAAAGATGTGAGCACTACCCAGCCATATGCTTTCTTTCTGTTCAAAGGTAATTAATAAAGCAAAAAAAAAAAAAAAGAACGGTTAAACACACCTTAACCAATATGCGGGCAACAATCTGGGAACTCATTTTCTCAGGTTCAAACTACAATAATGAATGAACAAACAAGCTATCACTCGTAACTTCTCACTAATCACTTAATGAGTTCCATTGATGAATTAATCTCAGAACCAATGGTAAATTGATGAGGAAGGCGACGGAAATACCTGATAGAGGCGAAGAAGGCAAAGATTGGCATCGAGGCTGTACGTTTGTGACGAAACCTGTAACAAGAGACAATAATTGTTAATTGTCATTGGCTTCCACAAGACCTAGGTTTAATAATTACAGAAAGAAGAAGAAGAAGAAGCGAATTGCGAAGGGACGAAGATGAATAAGCAGAGGAGAATGGAAAAGGGACCTGGTCGTTGACGTAGTTTTCGAGATCTGGAAGAATATCAGGATTGTATCGATTGAAGGCAACAAGCTGTTCCACAGTGTAAGCAACCTGTTGTTGTTTCGATGCCTCTCTTTCTCTTCCCATCTTTCTCTCTCCGGCGATACTAAAACCCTACTTAGCAACCTCAACACAACAAAGACTCTTCGTTTATTCAGCAACGGAATCGAATGCCAATGCCAGTGCGATACCCGTCCAAACCCTTCTTCCCTTTTATTAGGCTCAGCGCTGAGGGGAAATTGTAATCGTTAAATCATTTAATTATTAAAGTTTGAATATAAATTTTTTATAAGACTAAAGACAAAATTTTAATGTTTATTTAGATGTTATTGATACTGTTTATCAATTAAATTTTGAGTCTATTTTATTAAAATATTCATATTTATTATTATAAATTATTAAAATAAAACTTAAATTTTGATTGATAAGCAGCATCAATAGTACTTAAAAATTATACTTAAATTTTGTTCTAACTCTAATTTTTATTTTTCTTGTATCTAATTTTTGAATATCTCAAACTTGTTATCTCTAAAAATATTAAGTAGGTGTATATTCAAGCTTTAGGTGTAAAATTAAATATTTTCTCTAATAAGTGTTAGGGAGTGGTATTAGAAAATTTAAGAATGTTTGATTTCTGTTTTTAAAAATTAATTCTAATATAAATTTGTATTATAATTAATTTTTAAAAATAAAAAATTATTTTTAAAATATAAATCAAACATGTTCTAAATTTTTATTTTTTTTCCTTCACTAATGCGCTAAATAATATATTTTTAGAAACCCTTATGGGCCCGTTTGCATATTTATCCAATATATTGTACTATTTCGGCAAAGCCCTGTCCACTAACGCAATTCTTCTAGTTACTTATAATTTTAAGCTTAAAAAACGCTTTTTTTGTTCTTAATATTCTTATTCATCAAAATATAGGGTGTATTATCTTGACTATAACCAAATTTTAACGAAATCTTAATATAACCATCCTAATAAAATATGAATTAAATCTAAACTAAACGTAACTCCCACGTGAGTTAATTTACCACTTCAAAGAGCATAAGTAGGAGAGTTTGAAAGATGAGCTCTAGAACTAGTATTAACGATTGATCTAGAATGATGTTCCTTCATTTTTCTCTATTATTTCTTTTATATAAAGTTTAACCATGAACAGTGTTTACATGTGATAAAAGTCGATCAATAAGGTTTGCAATAAAATAGAAAAAAAAATGTATAAAAAATTTGATTATTTTGTCAAATCTACGTAAGCTAATAAATCATTTAATCCTCCTAATTTATTGGCTTCATTCTGTTTTAAGTTTGGCAAACTTTAAAATTCATCTAATAAATTAACGATGGAGAGTGTCAATTAAGTGCATTTTGTTCCGTGAAGAATTAAAGGAAAAAAAAAACTCTAATCAATTAAGCTACGGCTCAAATTGATTAAGTCACTAAAGTTTATATATATAAGCTAAGTTTTAGAGAAATTCTAAATGGATTAGGGAACACTTCTTAGTCTATTAGATCAAATTTATAGTCAAATTGTGTCAAAACAAAATCAATCTAATATATTAGGCACTTACATCTATATTAGTTGATATTTTCATCATCATCATCATCATTTTCACTTTTATAAACTATATTGATATGTTCGTTTTCTCAGTTATAATTAGCAGCATTGGTGGTGTGTATTTTAACTATTTTAAAAAGAGTATATACTCCTTTCTTTGTGATCATTTTCACAATTTCTAATGTAACAAAAATTTATAGCACAACTCACTTAACTCATCCACGTAGTTCCGCGCAAAACGAACAAATAAGCACAATATGGGCGCATACAACTATGTCATGGGAAGACGGTGAAAAAAACTTATCTTTGTTTTTGTAAGAAATAGAAGGTAAAGGTAAAATGGTTGCAAATACATTTAATATTCGATGTTTTTCAAAAGTTCAACACAAATTGTGCGGCAAAAGGGTAATAAAAATTTAAGCCTTCTTCTTTTTAGATTTAAGCATCACGAATCCAATAAATATGCATAAGAAGCAAAGAAGTGCCACGCCAGCAGATACTGGTATTAGGATAGCATACTCTTGGGGTAAGAAATACTTGTGCACAAAGTGATCATCATCTACAAATGGCTGAAAGACCATAAGATCAATTAACAAGATATTAGGAAGTTAAAACAGGAAAGCTATAATTCATTCAAAATACTTGGCAAGTTACTAACCAGGATGATAACCCAGAAAGTATAATAAGTGAATATCGATAAGCTAATAAAGGATAATAGGAATCCAACTGCTCTATCTGCCAATTCCATTTTGATGCTTATTGTTCTCACTTCCTGTGAACAAAAGACACAGATCACTGCACCCATTCACAGTATTAGACAGTTGAAACAAATATAAATGGTTATATATAAACACAACAGTAACATCAACAAAATACTGATAACCTCTGCACAAATAAATTATTCAGTGTTCGCATCGATCTAGAAGAAATTCACACCTTTTAATTGACTGATATGCTGTCTTCTACTGTTTTACACACTTAATTGAAAAGACGAAATCAAGTTGGATTTTATCAATGAATTTTTTTTTTTAAATAGCATTAAATCTGGAAATTTGGGAAGTTTTATCAGAAATTCAACTTGAATAGGGTTGTAAATTGCCATTGGCTTCCACGAAACCTAGGATTTATATTTACGAAAAGAATAAGAAGAAGCGAATTGCGAAACATGGAAGATGAATAAATAGATGAGGATGGAAGAGGGACCTGATCGTTGACGTAGTTTGCGAGATCTGGAAGAATATGAGGATTATATCGATGGAAGGGATCAATCTATTGCACTCAAACCCTACTTAGCCCACTCAATACAGCAAAGGCTCTTCGTTCATCAGGCAACGGAATGGAATGCCAATGCCAATGCTATACGCACACTTCAAAATCCTTTTTCCCGTTTATTAGGCTGAGCGCTGAGGGGAAAGGTAATCGTTAAATCATTAAATTAAGAAAAAAAGATGGCTTATTATGCTTTCAGAAAAAAAAAAAAAAAAACGTCAAGAGTTTTTTTAATAACAAAAATATTAAAGAAAAAAAAATAGCATCAAATCCAATATAATTGGATCCGTCTTTTAACTTACGTTTTGGGGTGGATTAAATTGGGTGATATAAAATTATAAATTCATTTTTAAAAGCAAGAGATTACTAGGTATTTTTAAGTTTAAATTAATTTTTCTTGCAATTCATGATTATTGTTAGTCTGAGAAAATTTTTCATAAAGGGAAATTGGAATATAAAACTTTTTATAAGACTAAAGACAAAACTTTTATGTTTTTGATCAATCAATATTTGACTTTATTTTAATAAAATGTATATTTAATATCATTCTAAATTATTAAAATAAAACTTAAACTTTAATTGATAAATAACACTGACAATACTTACAAAATTATGCTTAAATCTTGTTCTAAATCTAATTCTTTCTTCTCTTGCATTCAATTTTGAACATCTCAAGCTATGTTAAAGCTATGTATAAAATTAAAAATTTTCTCTAATAGGCTTTAGTGAGTGGTATTAGAAAATTTAATCCCTATATATATTTTTTTGGTTTCATAAATACTAACTTCCCTAATTAAAAATTATGTATGATATATTTTCTTTTTCATAATTATGTTCATAGTCACTTGTAGACATTGTGATTGCTTTTTCACTCTCATGTTCTCTAAAGTTATTTTTAGTTTTTCTCAAGGTGAAAAAAAAGTTAAGAAGTGAGTTTTTCACCTCTTTCCTTATTCTTATTTGTTAATATATTTTTCTCCTAAAAAAATATGTTCTTCCCAACTTTTATTTGAATTTTAAATTTATTTTTCTAAAATAAATCATACAGTGCTTATAATCTTAGAATTTTTCTTAAATTGTTTTTAATTACTTTTTTTATAGCTATTCAATTTGAAACTTATCATACTTGTTAGTTTCTTTAGAAAAATTAATTTGATGCCCTAATCATTTAGGGTTTAGAGGCTTAAATGATGCCCTAAATATTTTAGAAACCCTAATCATTGAGGGCCCGTTTGCATATTTATTCCATATATTGTACTATATCGGCAAAGCACTGTCCTCCAAGGCAATTCAAGTTACTTATAATTTTAAGCTCTTAAAAAAACTTTTTTTTTTTTTTTTGGTTCTTCGCTAAATTGCAACTTATATAATCGAAATATATATATTTAACAGCTCTATCAACTAAAAATGCTACAAAAGTTTTTGCTCACAAATTTAAAAGATTCGATATGAAGTTCCAGCCTGGCCATGTTTTCTTGTTATAAGGGCTTGCAAAGTTTAATTCAAACATGTCCTTGCTGTTTTCATCAGATGCGCTGAAATCAATGAGCTTTGATACAATTTCAGCGCTCTCTTGTACATTTTGCATGTCATAAGGGTCAGTCCACAGTTTATTCACAAGCTGCAACCTCCTTTGTTTTCCAACCGGAGGAACTTCCCATGTTGCATAAAGTAGTTCCCTCTCCTCTGCAGTAAGTTTAATGCTGACCTTCTTAGATAGATACTCCCTTTCTTGCTTCAGAGCCTTGATGCTGCATTTGACGATTAATTAACACCAAAATATTAATACAAATTTCGGAACATTTTACAGGCCCTGTACTAATTGCTATTAATTTTTTCTGAAATAAACCTTTCGCAAAGACACGAGCATTATTATCAAAGACATTAAAAATATTTTTAAAGGAACTACAAAGACCCTCGCATACCTTGCTGAAACACAACCTGCAGGTTCATCACCGAGAAGTGCAGGACTAGCATTCCCAAGCTCTGCTAGGTGCTGTTCCAACCAAGTCAATCTTCTAAGTTCAACTTCCATATATATCTGATCAGAAGGATCTCCCCGCAACAAAAGATAAAACTGTGTCCGGTGCACGAGAGAAATGTGGCATAAATGCCATAACATGATAATTTGCTTTCTCTGCTGTTCAAACAGTATATGCCATGGTAAGGGAGATCGATCAGGTGTATCCATTTCTTCATTTAAAGACTTGTTTACTTCAAGCTCCAAAACCTAAATCCGTGCAAAGGTAAGTATCAACATTATTATATATTATTAAAATTATTGAATTACTATTTAAGTTACTTAATACAAGCATTTGTCTGCAACAAATTAACCTGAAAGAATAAGTGGTCAGTAAAGTGTGTCAAAATTTTCGTTATTCAACAATAACTTACAAATTAGTAATTTTTAGTAGGGAAAAGGACACTAGTATCTATCCACATGACGGCCATGAATTACCCGAGCGCCTAAAAGGCTAATCTCGGCCATGAATTTTTCACTATTATAGACTTAGGACTGAACCTTCGTCTACCAAGGCGCCAGAAATGACTATGGATATGACTAAAACCTTGCAAATTTTCGGTATTCATTATAATTTCAAATAACTCGAACCCAATGCAAGGAACATTCTTACGAAGATGACGAAAATGAATACGAGAGCACTATATAGAACATATGAATAGAGGAAAATTTTGAAATCTCACCTGCCAAACCAGAAGCTGCTTCTGGAAATGTAGTTTCGCCACTAGCTCTTTTAACTCAGTAACATAAGCTCTGAAGCTCCGAATGTTTTCCTCCGCAGCATTCGTGAACATTTTTTGCATCTTCTTCACATTCACTGATTTCGATTGCCGTGTAGCTGGGCTTCCTTCCCGTGATAAAAGAGAATCACAATTTTCACCTTCCTTTCGCGGAGTATCTTTATGTAACCTTCCAAAAGTATCACTGCCAAAGCCAATGTTGTTTTCCGGTGCCCTGTTCTCAATTTCATGTTCCATTGCTTTACGAGAAGAGGAGAGAGGCGAGCAAGGAGCGCGTATTATATGTTGCATGTTGGGACTGTTGCTTAAAGTGAAAGGAAGAATTTTCTTCCTCCTCAGCGGGGTCTTGATCTCTGGAGTCTCCTCGGCACTAAAAGCAGCAACTAGTTTGTCCATAGATTTTTTAACACTTTCCAGCTTCCTTTCTAAAGATGCAATGGTGTTCCCTTGATTTTTCAACTGATTGAACTCTTCCATCAGGTCGGCCTTATCTGCAGTCACAATTTCTTCTGGGCTAGAGCTGGCAACAACCAAATCTTTTATTTCAGACAGTACTTTTGACATGGTTTCAGCAGTTTCTTGATTCCCAAGTTTGTGGGTTGCAAAATCCTCGTGTAGAACTTCAAGTGCTCGATTTGCATCCTCACATAGCTGCAGCTGGCGATGCTCAAGCTTCCGAATTTCACCGACCAGTATGGATGGATCGGGAGAAGAAAATAAATTCTTCAGCATTGCCTGCCTGCCTACTGCCTCTCTTCGCTCTGGAGTATGTTTACCATTAGCTGATTCATTTTCTTCGGGAAAAGAAAGACACCTGACAACTTGACTAGAGGGCCCATAATTGCTTGAACCCTTCAAGAATTATATAATTCGAGTCAGAAGAATAAATAAGGTTAAACTAATGTGATATGACCATTCCAAATACCTTTTGAACTTTCTTCGCTCTTCTTTCAAGATCGAGTTGAGATTGCGCAAGGTCTCTCTGTCGCCTCAGGTCTTCCATATCCCTCTCCATCTGCATATTTGTGTTTACCAAATTTAATTAATTATATGTTGAACAGTTTAGCTATATAGAATTCATTGACCACATCTGGAGGCAAGAGATAATGCAAGAATTCCACAGAATACCATTGTAATATCTATCTCTCTAGCGGACTAGTGGAGGTTAGTTCAAAATTTTTAGCTCAAGTTTAAATTTGAAAGGAAGTTAAAACGCGACTTTCATTATCTAACAAGAAAAGAACTTTGTACCTGCTGAATTTTCAACTCCTTTTCAGCTAGCAACGACCTTAGACATGAATGTGAAGAAAGTTCGGGGCTTCGTAACTCCCCTTCAAGCCTTGCAACTTCCTTTTGCAATTGTCTTACTAGTGTCTTATCTGAAACTACCTGTTTAAAACCATTATCACCAGCTTTCTTAACGTCATACTTTCTTTTTCGTAAAAAATATGAAAGCGTGTAATCAATGAGGTGTCTTCTTGAAATAAAAGATGAATTTCACTGAGAAGTGATTACGAAGAGAAGCGAGTCCTTTAGAATTGTCACTTAAATAAAAGACAGGATGCTTTTATCGAAAAATGTGCATCCATCACTATCTTCAATCCAATTTCAATTGATTCTATCAAACAAATACCCTTCGCGACTAGTCCTAGTAGAGGATAGGATAGGCTACAAAAGAATCATCAGAAACCAAGGGGGGCTACTATCTACAATTTAGACAATTTAGCAAATTTTCAGTAAGCTACCAAACTTTAAACTTCCATCTAGAAACGAATTGTTAGGAAATATAACTGTATGACTGGGTAGTAACATAAAGAACGAGAATATTTAGATATTTAGTCATACCAAATTCACTCGGGCAGTATTAATAACTTCCTTTGCACTGGTAGCAAATGCTAGTGTATTTCTTGTTTGCTCCACATGACTTAAGGATGGACTTATGGTACATATAATCGCTGTTCGAGCATTGCCCCCTATCGAAGACTGCAATATTCGTGTCAGTTTTGAATCTCTATATGGTATGTGACCACGTTTTCCTCCACTGCAAATAAAAGGAAAACTCCAAAAGCCAAATCAGACTCGAGTATTGATCAAATTACATAGCACTATAGGTCTTTACTTTATCATAATATTGAAAATAACCAACTTCCACAATATTTGGATAAATTAAAAAAAAAAAAAACATTAAAAAGTATTTTTAGGTTTTAACTTTAAAAAAAAAATCTAATTATTGTGAAATTTGTAAACATATTTTATATTTAAAAAACACTTATTTCTTAAAATAAAAACACACGCTGACACATAAACAAATGGGCTGCTTAGTATATTTTTCTCCAGCTTAATGA